GTTTCAGTCTGTTCCACATTTTGATTATTGATCCATCAGGCCAGTACCTTCAGTAACAAATCCGCGTAGAAGGACAAAATATTGATTAAATTTCGTTCACAGTCATAAGCTCGAAATTTAGGCCCAATTGTCTGTTCTGTTCGCATTAAAATCCACCATGTTTTGCTAAACTGGTCGATGTGGAAAACTTCCGCGTGAATGGTTGTGAAATAAAAGAAACCTTTCATAAACTAAGACGCATCCGATGATAAATATTAACTTCACATTATATAAAGGTAAAATTATCCCTGCAACAGGCCGTGGAGGCCCATAAGGTCGAAGCTCCAAAATTTTCTAGACAATCGGCTCATAGATGGCGGTAAGGTTGTCAGCCTTACACGCCGGCCGCTCTTTACCGCCCAGGAAGATTTCTGGTACTCATTTCTGTTAGGGGCTGAGTCGACCCCAGGGCCATAGTATGGGTGGAAGAATTAGGTTAATTGAAAAATCTAATGGCCAGGACAGGATTCGAACCCGCGACCTTCAGGCTTGTAGCATAGTGCCTCAACCAACTACGCTAACACGTGCTCTGCACATTACATATCCTCATTAAAATATTATCTATACTCACAGGGTAAGTACGATACACAGAAACAAAAGACAGTCTCTTCGTTACCTATAACTATGAAATGTACTGACGCTCGACAATTCGTTGCTATGGTAACTCGACATTGTTCAATTACACAGCTTTCATCACACGCTTATAAAATGTTCATACAAGCTTACATATTCATATTCAAATACAAAATATGGCCATCAAATATGGAAATAAACCTCAGTTCTAAAAGCCTATACTTCAAGGAAATCGCATAAAACTAACAACCAATTAAAGCAAAGATTGGCTTGTCAGATTTGGGGATCATGAGGCCAATCTTATGGGATGTGGCGCCGTGTTGTCGGGTGATTGGAGCCAGTGCTTCGAAGGACCCTGTGGCCTCTGTCTATGGGGTAAATTAAGATGAAGCAGAAGTTTCCTCCAAAATACTAGTACCTATCTATCAAACTACACGGTGCCTCATTCCAGAAAAACTTTAACCTTCAAATTATTTGCACACTCAGCGATAACTAATGAAATCGTAACTTCCATTAACCCTTTGGAGATGGAATTTCTTCCGAATAATATGTATATAAGTTCAGTTCGTACCTCACAGGAAACAAAATATGGCCACATAGGTCAACAGTTTAATGCTATTTAGGTAACTGGTCTAGAATCACACCAAATACCCAAACCATGGACAAAATACAGACAGGTGGTACATATAGTAACCATTCGGATTGGACTGCCATAGCTCCGGCGGTCAGTCGCCGGCTTCCCACCGCGGCCAAGGTTAGAGCCCGGGTCAGGTCATGTGGGATTTTTGGTGGACATAGTGGACCTGAGGCATGTTTTCTCCGAGTACTTCAGTTTACCCTGCCAATTCGTATTCCACCGATCGTGGGTTCGAATTCCACACACGGCATGTATATATGGTGTGTGTATGAGTTTATTTTGTTTGTGTTGTCCTGTGTTTAGGTAGAGACCTTGCGACGAGCTTATCACCCGTGCAAGGTGTCCTACCGTTTGTAAAACGATCATGAAACTGAGAAATCAGCCGTATGCTCCACNGACCCCAGGGCCATAGTATGGGTGGAAGAATTAGGTTAATTGAAAAATCTAATGGCCAGGACAGGATTCGAACCCGCGACCTTCAGGCTTGTAGCATAGTGCCTCAACCAACTACGCTAACACGTGCTCTGCACATTACATATCCTCATTAAAATATTATCTATACTCACAGGGTAAGTACGATACACAGAAACAAAAGACAGTCTCTTCGTTACCTATAACTATGAAATGTACTGACGCTCGACAATTCGTTGCTATGGTAACTCGACATTGTTCAATTACACAGCTTTCATCACACGCTTATAAAATGTTCATACAAGCTTACATATTCATATTCAAATACAAAATATGGCCATCAAATATGGAAATAAACCTCAGTTCTAAAAGCCTATACTTCAAGGAAATCGCATAAAACTAACAACCAATTAAAGCAAAGATTGGCTTGTCAGATTTGGGGATCATGAGGCCAATCTTATGGGATGTGGCGCCGTGTTGTCGGGTGATTGGAGCCAGTGCTTCGAAGGACCCTGTGGCCTCTGTCTATGGGGTAAATTAAGATGAAGCAGAAGTTTCCTCCAAAATACTAGTACCTATCTATCAAACTACACGGTGCCTCATTCCAGAAAAACTTTAACCTTCAAATTATTTGCACACTCAGCGATAACTAATGAAATCGTAACTTCCATTAACCCTTTGGAGATGGAATTTCTTCCGAATAATATGTATATAAGTTCAGTTCGTACCTCACAGGAAACAAAATATGGCCACATAGGTCAACAGTTTAATGCTATTTAGGTAACTGGTCTAGAATCACACCAAATACCCAAACCATGGACAAAATACAGACAGGTGGTACATATAGTAACCATTCGGATTGGACTGCCATAGCTCCGGCGGTCAGTCGCCGGCTTCCCACCGCGGCCAAGGTTAGAGCCCGGGTCAGGTCATGTGGGATTTTTGGTGGACATAGTGGACCTGAGGCATGTTTTCTCCGAGTACTTCAGTTTACCCTGCCAATTCGTATTCCACCGATCGTGGGTTCGAATTCCACACACGGCATGTATATATGGTGTGTGTATGAGTTTATTTTGTTTGTGTTGTCCTGTGTTTAGGTAGAGACCTTGCGACGAGCTTATCACCCGTGCAAGGTGTCCTACCGTTTGTAAAACGATCATGAAACTGAGAAATCAGCCGTATGCTCCACAGTGGGAGCGAGAGGAGAGAGAGCGAGAGAGAAATGATTAGGAATGGGAGCACTGAAGGGATGAACCCGCCGCTCACGGTAGCCGAGCGGTCTAAGGCATGCACTGTCTTCGCTTGCTTGGAAACCGGGATCGTGGGTTCGAATCCCACTCAGGGCATGGATGTTTAGTTTGTGTGTGTGCGTTTTTCTGTGTTTGTGTACAGGTAGAGGCCTTGCGACGAGCTGATCACCCGCCCAAGGGGTCCTACCGAATGTGTAAGATTTAGAAAAACCGAAGTGAACGGAGAAGTTCATGGAGGTAGGCCTAGGCCCACTGGGGCTGTAGTGCCAAGGGGGGGGAGGGATGAACCCTGGTACTACAGCATATTGGTATTGTTTATGGTAATAATTTGCGGAGCTTCTTTCATGCCGTAGACAAGCATGTGTCGAATTGATGTCGTAACCCACGTCGGTTTACTGGCTCCGTCCAAAGAGCCGACAATATTAAATGTAGCTTGTGTTTACACTGAGATGCATGTGTAGGAGAGACAAGTGTGAGCGGCGAAGAGCACAAAGGATAGAGCCCAGTGTACTTCGCAGCGCATTTCGTACATTTCACACGGCAAACAACATAAAAGTCAGCCATTTTGAACTAGCATTAAATCACCTCAGCCCGTCACGCATTCCAGACCTGATTTACCCAATATCTGCCTCTCAAATAATGGGCAAAAAATCGCGAGCAATCAATTTCCCTTTATTCTCATGACCCAATTTTCACTGTTATGGGTCACCTATCTTACCGAACTCTTGGAACCGGAGAGCATTACCGGTATAGCGACCGGCTAAGGGTTGGAAGGCCGAATGGTCGAAGTTTCGAGTCCCAGTAAGAGCAAAATCTTTCTCCTTTACACGTCGTCCAGACAGGTTCTAGGGCCCACTCACCCTCCTATCCAGTGGATACCAGTGGCTCTTCCCAGGAGGTAAAGAGGCCGGGGCGTGAAGCTGACCACTTGCCTCTAACTAGTGCCCAAGTCGAAAATACATGTTTTTTTAGACATCCACTCCCCCATACGTCTCCATGGCGTAATGCTTAATTAATTAAGCATAGGGACAATTTTACCTTGGGACGAACCAGGTCTACATAAAATATAAACTGGACAAGGCGTGTCTGTCCATCCGATCAAATGTTTAATCTTATGACGATCGTAGGTAAGACACTCAGCGCTACAGAGAGGTCCTGATGCGGACACAGCATTTTAGTAGGAAGTGAGCGTAGATGGTGAGATAATATTAAAATCGACTTTGAATAAATAATTAGCGGATTGCAACATTAAATTTTTCAATTGACCTAATCCTTTCGGCTGCACTATGCCCCTGGGGTCAACTCAGCTTCTTACAGAAATGAGTACCAGGAATCTTCCGGAGGTAAAGGACGGCCGGTGCGTAAAGCTGAAGAATTTACCGCCATCTGTGAGCCGATTGTCTATAATTTGTGGGAGCCTCGACGTCTCACAACCCTATGAGCTTCCACGACCTGTTACGGGGATAGCTTTGCCTTTTCAACTATCAGGATACGGCACAGTGGCGATCTCTTGTGCGCATGACATTGAACTTTCAAGTTGAGTAACAAATAAAGAATACCTTGATCATCTACGCGATTGCCACAGTTCAAGGTTACTGTTATCAAGAGCGCTATCTTCTGGGACACAACGCCCTGTAATCTGTTGAAAATTAACCGAAGTTTCGGAGTAAGATACCGCCTCCATCTTCAAGGTCGAAGTAAGAAACCAGCGTGAAAGCAGTAGTAGGGCTCTGCTTGCCACTTGCTTTCGCGCTGGTTCCTTACTTCGATCTTGAAGATGGAGGCGGTATCTTACTCCGAAACTTCGGTTAATTTTCAACAGAATACAGGGCGTTGTGTCCCAGAAGGTAATAATCTTTATGAATATTTAGGATTATCTACCAGAGGAAAGAAACAGATCGACGTAAACGAACGAACAGGACTGCTGCGGCCCAGTGAAGTATCAGGGAAAGTGAAGGCTTCAGCAGCTGTTAGTTATCCGGCTGATATACCCTGATCAAAATGTCGGACAGTACAATCTTGAGATTAGATTGCTGTTTTCTTCGGATATGTCCTCACCCATACTTTCACGATGATTCCTGATGTTTCAGATTTCCACTACTTACCGGGTCAGCACCCCGGTCTCGTGCCATTCGCTCTCTTCCCAGCGGCCCAGTGGTTGGACACAGCGGCGTATATGGGCTATCCGTGGCCCGAGTACTTCCGACGGCCCACAACTACGGAACTCTGTAAACTTCCCAGTACGTGCGGCTCCTCAATCATCAAAAGTAAGTAGCCTCCTTGTAATTAGACTGCCGATGCAACAGCACATCCTTAGTCACTGCAGCACCACACATACGTGTACATCACTACATGAATGCCATAGGGCACTATTAATACGTATTTTCAAGGAGGGTTTTGACGGGCTGGAAGGTATGGTTCGATTCCCCGAGAGGGCAAGGGATTTTTCTCTACTCCACGATGTCCAGACCGACTCTGGGGCACACCCAGCCTCCTATCCAATAGGTACCACGGGCTCTTTCCCTGGAATTAAAGCGGCCGAAGTGAGAAGCTGATAACTCGCCTTCATCCAATGCTGAGATCAAGAATGGTGGATCTATACATCCACTCCACCATTAAGCACAGGAAACACTTTACCTCGTTTTTACGAGTATATTTAAAGACAATTACGAGCCTATCTTACATAAACCAACCTTCGGCATTACGCTGACAAGACAGCATAAAAGATTCTTTATTTTGGCATATTGTTAATTGTAAATATTTAAAGATTTGCAATTAGTTGTCACACAAAATTACTCAGGTATATTAAAATACGTCCTATAAATTACGCAATAGTTTAGTCTCATACTGGTTTCTTGTAAAAAACGACCAATTAAGGTCGAGATATGTTAGCCGTAAGGTTTTTAAAATATTGGCTACGGGCGTTCCGCACTATTGAAACCTCAACCTGTCTCACAGCTAGAGACGCATCTTCAGGCAGCAGATAGGGGGCCCACGCCGAATCAATCCCAAATGCTGAAGCTGAAGCAGACATATCCACGTTCCCGGATAGCATAAAAATCATTCCGTGGGCAGAGGTCACTCTTGTGTACGCTGAGCATACTTCAAACAAAAAACAAACTCCGTGACATGTAGTCCGCAAGCGAACTATAGCGACCGCCGCTTGTCAGCGAAGTTAGTGCCAACTTTAGCGGATAGAGGGTGTCGCGTGGTCAGCGCAACGAATCCCCACGGCGGTTAATTTAGATTTTCTAGAACGGAGCTGCTATTTCCTTTAAATAGCTGCCCAGTTATCCTCACGATGCTGTGTGGACCCCGTTTCAGACCCACTTCTTCTCAGAAAATCAAGTAGTGCCGGGAATCGAACCCAGGAACTCTGACCACGAGACCACAGAGGCTGTAGCTGAACACACCCTCACGCGTAAAAAAATGCTCCGCCTATCCACAGAATATTATGTAAACGGTGCTCATTCTTAGTGTGTTGATATCACAATAGTCTGGAAATGTGTGCGCCCCGCGAGTAGCAGCACGAATGTCGGTTTGGATTTTGGAATGGCAGAAGAAAGTGATCTTCATCTTTTGTTAGGTCTACTTATATCCCATCTTCCTTCCGGCCTATAACAAAAAATTTAATTACTAGTATTGGGGAAACTCGTCTTTGAACATCATCTTCCCTTTCTCTCTTCAGGGCTTATGTTTATACAATTTTTTACAATGAATTTATTGTTACTTTCGCATCTAATATGCCTCTTCTCATGTTTCAATTCAGGTTGAATTATATTCATAATACCTCTTTACGATTACTCTCAAAGTCAGAGTTATTTTACGACTGGCGGTTTACTTCCAATCAGTTCGTCTTGGCGCCAAGCCCCTTGAGACTCACGATCAGAATTTTTTTGCAGCTGAACCATTGTGGCTGTTGTCCTTATGTAACCTCTTCCCTGANCTTTTTTGCATTAATATGTATTCTCCACTTCCGGAACCATGGTTCTAAGAGGCGTATGGCAGAGTTTAACTTTCTGACTGCTATATCTATGCTGCCTGACCGAACACTAATATTCGTGTCATCAGCATAGACCGATATGGCTATGTTGGAGTCATTTTCAATTGAAGGAATGTCATTAATATAAATATTGAAGAGTGTGGGTCCAAGTAAGCTGCCCTGAGGCACTCCGGCCTGAATGGGGCGTAGGTTTGAATAATAGTTTTTGTGCATTACAAAAAAGCATCGATTCTGGAGGTAGTTATGTATTATATGAATGAAGTGAGGTGGAATTTTGGCCGAAATGAGTTTAGCAATCATCCCGGTGTTCCAGACCTTGTCGAATGCTCGTTCAATATCCAGGAATAAGGTTACTGTAGCTTTGTTATTGTTGAAACCGACAGGATGGGTTTCTTCTAAATACTATATACAGATTCAGTTCGTACCTCACAGGAAACACATTACGTCACCGCTACCAAGCCCAACCGGTTAACCGGTCGCTGTTTATTCTGAGAACTATATGAAGACACAAATACACTCTGTGGGCAGAATGTAAAGTTTTCGTAATAGTATGTTAAAGATGGTAGTACATACATTAAACACTGTGATTTAAGGGGTTAATATTATCCTCCCATTTACGCCTATGTGTTGTAAGTTGCCTCTATCCTTCACATTTTCCGACTAATATATTCTGTGCAGTTCTCGAATTCCATAAAAGTGGAGAGATTCTTAACCAGCTGAATTAAATTTGAAATACCCACCAAAGTTGTAGTCCGCTGTTCTGTATTTAATCTGCTTCTGTGTTTTGTTTCACGACTGCAATTCGCGGTGTAAGGTCCCGGAACTGGCTACACTGAGCCATTAGACATGGAACCAAACTATCACGGACTTGCATTAAAACCACGCAAAATGGCCACTGGCCGTGACTCATGTGGGCCCTGATTTCTGCCGGCAGCACAGCACAGACATACATCCCCTGTGGGCTAAAGATGCTAGATGGGGAGATATACATAGACAGGGCGAGGATTTGGAAGAGGGTGTGTAGAGGTGGAGTGTTTCAATTCAAAGGCTCCAAACCACCTCCCAACCCCCTTACTCCTATTTCCCCTTGTGGAGAATATAGTGCAAGCTCGCTCAAATCGGATTAAGGGATGGCTGGCAGTAGGGGATGAATTTCATACGAGAGGGCGTTCAGTCAGTGCAGCTAATTCCCATAAGACTGCCTAAAACCTGTACTGTGCCCGCTACTCGTGTTCGCATATCACGTCACAACCCCCGTAAGGAGACCATCCAGGACCATACAGTCAACGAAACTTGTATCGCGGCTGTGCTATCTGGCCAGCATGGCAAGTCCCTTTAAAATGTGACGACATTTAGATATCTGAGAATGGGACTTATCGGGACAAACTTATATTGATTAGTGAAATACAGAACAGGGTGAATTCGGGAAACATTTTCTATCATTCAGTTTTTGTATTCTACATAAAAACCGTAGGAGCACGCGGTAGCGTAGGTGATTGAGGCACTGTGCTACAAGTCGGAAGGTCACGGGTTCAATTCCAGATGAGACGATTGGATTTTTCAGTTGGCCTAATCCTTCCAGCCGCACTATAGCCCTAAGGTCGACTTAGCCTCTAACAGAAATGGGTACCAGAAATCTTCCTGGGGGGTAAAGGATGGCCGGGGCGTAAGGCTGACAACCTCACCGCCATCTGTGGGCCGATTGTCTGCAAAATGTGGGGAGCCTCGACGTCTCACAAACCTATGGGCCTCCACGGTTTGTTACAGGGATAGCTTTACCTTTTGTATACATAAAAAAACCTTAAGAGAATACAAGATGTAGGCTGAAAATGGAATTCACCAAATTCCGAATGATGACGTAATGGTCTACGTCACTTACTGACGATGACGCACCTTTGTTCCCATTGCAGATGGAGTGGGTGTTAGATACGCCATGTTGTTCTTTAGTTGTTTCGTTGCGGATATGGTTTCTTAATGTAGATTCAGCACCCAGCAGTTTCCTTGAGAAATCCTATCTGCCGTGCCCCCATGTCTTTCCGTCTTATTAGCCTAGTGCATGCGCGAGATATACATAACTCATGGTCGAAATGATAAACGTGTCCTTACCTGAGGACGGAAACAGATCCAGTTTCCGAAACGTTGTGTTTTTTTTTCTTAGTTATTTAGAATCCGGACGCTGGACAAAGTCCGAAAACCCAGTATCCACCATCGTCAGAACCACGAAGTATCTAAAATGTATTTCCACCATGGAACAATATCAAGATTTAAAATTACATCCTTTTTCCCCCCACTTTTTCAAATTTACCACTGCACTACACGTTTCGGCCTAGTCAATCATCATCAGGTGATTTGATATAAGGAGAAACTTTTGTGCCCTCCGCGCTACTGCGATCCGTGTTTTCGTGTTTACAGTGTTTCTAAATGAAGTCAATTTAGTTCCTCCTTCTGTGCTACATACGTTGCCCTTTTTTGTATGTCTGTTGCCTATCGAGTGTGCAGTGTGATGTTGTCAACGCACACAGGGCGCTGTGGGGAACTTTAAACGACGAATACCAACTGCGACAGGGCGCCGTGATGACAACTCTTGTGTCCAATTAACTTTTTCTGAGAAATACTGAAGGGAAACAGATATATAGCAAGGGATGATAGCATGTCTCGCAGTGGATTTTTATTTCTGTTTCTCTGTCTGCAGGTTCCAGTTCGACGCCCGAATTCTACAGTCTCCAGCAACACCCGCATAACCCAGCAACTGGAGTCGGGCTAGTTGCCGGGGCTGCATTTCCCACGGTACCACCCCCAGCACCTCCTCCAGGCTTCCTCCCACCGCTTCTAGGGTACCCACCCGCACCACCCCACCATCCAGTCTCTTCCTCAGACCCTCTCATACCTAACGACAAACTTCTGTCGCAGCCCGGGGCCAAACATGGGCCAGCGTTCGCTTTGGCCACTTCGGTATCCACGGAATTTGCCCCAGCCACACTCAGCCTCGCCATTCCTACCCCACCAACCCCTAAATTGTCACCTCCTCCCAGAAAATCGCCGAGTCCCACCCAAAACGCGAGGATGAGCAGTGATGACGCCAGTGATACTGGAGAAGACACGGTGGATGTGGTGAGATCGGCCTTCCAGCAAGTGCGGCCCCAAGGAGGAGGGCCCGAGAGGCGGAGAAGCCCGGAACCGCGGCCGGCTACTCTTCTGACGACGTCGTGTTCTAACACCTCCGCGACGCCCACGCCGATACAGAGCCACAAGGCTGTCTGGAGACCGTACTAGCGAGCAGTCACTCTCCGTCTAACGCATGCCTTCTGTGGTGACCGCAATTTATATGTGACGCCGCGTACTTTGGTAAATGGATACAAATGTTTCTGAGGAAGGTGCTGCCTCCATCTTCAGGGAAGACAGGATTTCGGTCTTTAACCAAATGTCGTCATGATAGCATAGAGCAGGGTGAGAGAGGAATGAAATGAGGAACTCAAAAAGTCGATCAGAGAACATAAAGAGAAGAGAATGTTTGGGAGATGCGCGTATAGATGGGAGGATACTAATAAATTAATCTTAAAGAAATAAGATGTGAATGCATGGGTTGGATTAAGCTGGCTTGAGATAGAGACCAGTAATGAACAACTATGAAAACGGTAATGAAACTTAAGCTTCCTTGACTAGCTAAGATACTCTCAGCTCTTCAAGAACAACTGTGCTCCATGTAATTTACATTTCTTTTCCTCCGTTTCCATGAAAACATATAATTTGCAGTGGCAAAGTATAATAAATTGTTGACTTTAATTGTCAAGAAATTACAACATAGTTCATTTTCACTTCTGTTATGAACAGGGCCCGGATTTTGATGACATGTCATCTTTTTTTTCTTTATATCCTACGCAGTGCTCTTAAATATATAAATCTCGGATATGAGCTGCTGGTTACAGAAATTTACGTAAATTTTATAGGTATTTTTTTTACATTTTTAGGTTTAAGGTCATTTGTTCACTTTTTGGGGTAATTTTTTGGTAGATTTTTGGACTTTTAAGGGTATTTCTTGTCATTTTTGTCCATTTTAGGGAATTTTTCTTCATATGTTTTCTGAAATGTGAATAACATGGGAGCGAAGTGTTCTTTCTTTTCTCCTTTAGGTCATTTTTCTGGATTTTTTCGGTCATTTTATAGGTCATTTTTTAAATATTTTCAGTCATCAAAATCCGGACCCTGGTTATGAAATACTGAAGTTGCCCAGAGGAAAAGTGACTACTGTTTCTCAACGAGATATCTCATTCGTGGAACTAAAAATGTTAATTAAAGTACTATCTTATTTTGCCACGCACGCAGTATAGCATATGGGCTGATGTGCTCGGGGCGGTACATCAGCGCGAACTGGTGCATGACGTAATAAGGAAATGATACACTCAAGATGCACCTTCCGAAGCTACTGACGAGATTCCGATGAGAAGCTCGGGTTACTTAATATCTGAACAATTAATTCTTTCTTAATATGGATGAAGTTAACTGTGATATTTCAAAAGAAATTATGAATATGTAAAGTATATAAAGATAAATTTACCGCCTCTGTGATCTAGTGGTCAGAGTTCCTGGCTACAGATCCAGAGGTCCGGGGTTCGATTACCGGGGTCTGGAACGGGGTCCACTCAGCCTCGTGAGGATAATTGAGGAGCTATTTCAAGAAAATAGTGGCTCCGGTCTAGAAAACCTAGATTAACGGCCGTGGGGACCCGTTGCGCTGACCACGCGACACCCTCTATCCGCAAACGTTGGCACTAATTTCACCGACAAACGTCGGTCGCTCGGTCGGTATAGTTCGCTTGCGGACTACAGGCCACTGAGTTTTTATAAAGATAAATTTAATTTAACATGGAAATGAATAAGCAGCTCGAAGATCAAAGTCCTCCTGAATTCACGAACAGTCATAAATGACACCCGACTTAAGCTTCAAAATAAACTTACAGAATGAGACCTGAAATATTTCCTTGCGAGCCATTCATGTTTTGTCGTTGTCTTCTCTATTGTAACTGACTGATTGCTAAGTTTCTGCTGGCCCTCAACAGCAGAGTGATTTTTGGTTCTGAGTCCCATGAGACTCATGACCATATTTCACTATCTGACGAATCTGGGATCCTTCAGACTCTGGCTCCTTTATTCCATCTGGTACATGTCGTCACGTGGGTGTCGTACCGCGCAGAAAACATAAAAGTGAACTTAAGATATATCGTCCTCTCAAACACTAATGAGAATACGGGAATTGTTTTGGAGCATAAATATTATACATCTCTGTTGACCTATGAATATAAGACTGGATGTTAAACCAGTAGATTCATACGCTTAGTCTTGGATTATAATGCCGTGCAGTCTGGCAGGCGGGTATAAACTTTTCAGAGGAATACACTGCCTGAACTGATGACGGAAGCAATATATTCTTCCGAAATATTGGTACATACCTAACAGACTAATCGGCGTCATAAGCCAAAGGATTAAAACATAAAATTGTGTATCTCCTTTAAATGCCATATTCTGATGATAATAACACCGATTAATCGATCATACTTGTCAATCATTGACTGCTCAATTTATTTTGAATCTTAAAATGATTTATGCCTCATTTGTTAATGTCTTAGGATCGCTAATGTTGTTAATATACTCCATCTGCTGCAGGAACGAATGTGCGTCATTGTCTATCAGTGACATAGACCATTACGTCATTAATATTGGACTCTGTTTCAAAAATGTTTCTGATGTTTACACTCCAGTGGAAAATTCGAACGCAAACACGAAGGTTCTCAGAGAGAAAGGATAGGGTGGTATGGACTGGATTGATCTGGCTCAGGATAGGAAATAGTGGAGGGCTCTTGCGAACACGTTAATGAATTTTTGGGTGTCATAAAATATTGGAAATTTCTTGAATAGCTATGCAATTGGCAGCTTCATAAGAAGGACTCAGCTCCATATAGTTAGTTATAAGCTAGCCTACACCTTACGTGACGTGCACTGGTTGGCAGAGCAGATGGACCCGGTATAGACGGCTGTACAAATAGTGAATCCAGTGTTGCTTCTGAAGGGGCCATATAATGCCCAGTTCGAAATTATACAAAATTATGCCTATCTGTAATAAAGAACTCAACATTTGGATGTGATACAGAGCCCGAACAAGTAATAACTGCATTAATACGGAAATATTTTTATGGCACTTAAGAAAAGCACTAATAAGAAAATAACTTTTAAATAAATATTCGTTAGATGAAAAGTCTGTACTTAATTAACCCATTCAGGAAGCAGAAAACATTTGAATTTATTTATATGCGATTCGGTAGAAGGAGTGATATGTCTAGTGACTACTATAATTAGAATCAAGTGTTATAATAAAAAAAAAATTTAAAGTGTATATAAACAAATCTGAAACAAAACTGAATATTCAGTTCAAATGAAGGCTAACAGTGACTATTACCTATTTCAGTGTAATACCTGGAATGCTTCTGCCAAGTTTTACTATAGATAATAGGGTGAAGAAGATAATGAGGCCTGAACGAAAGTGACTTATTATCTCATACAGGGAAAAAGTGATATAAGAAAGCTTGGTAGAACAGTAAATGAAAAGAAAGACATCATTCTGGTGAACAACACTACAGAAATCATGTCCTTGATCAAACTCTTATTACTACGTTCGTCATATCTGATAACATTTCACGTGATGTGTTCAGTTCCGCACGACTCCACTTGTTCCAACTTCTTGTGGTGCACAGAATCTGCGATTCCCCTCTTGTTCAGACAATCAACACCGATGTGAAACGTGTCTCAACACTAACAATGAGCATGTGACACTGCATGGTGTGTTCAAACTGCTGTGTTATTGTGTTAGCAAATGTTGGAAAATCTTGGTAAGGAGAGAAATATATATGGAAAGATTAATTTGGGGGGAAACCCATAAAAATATTAACACAATATTTTTATCTTGATACTGGACTCAAGTGTCCATATAAATTTACAAAATTTGTCCAAATTAGTGTGAAAAATTTTATGGGATCTGTAACAATGTAACAGGCATTATAAGATTTGAGGTTTTCGCAGCTGTTACATAAAGAAAGCCGTCTTCTGTTCCTCTGAAACGTCGGTTCGCACAAGATCTACACGGCGCAACGTCACAGAAGACATCATTCTTTATGTAACAGGCTTTCACAGCGTCCGGATGAGATGTATCTTATTCAGGTTTCCTTCCTGACAAATTCTTTGCATTTAAACCAACGGGTAGTACCTCTCTATTATGGATTAATTATGTGTATAGGCCACATAAATATGTTCCTGCTTCTCGTTTTCTGGAAGTGTCTGTCCCCGTAGAAAAATATACCCGAATCGGAGGTTCATTTCGCAGACATAAGATTCATCATTGTAATCAACAAGTTAGCACTTAGTCTAAGTCGCACATCCACACGTCAATTTCACTTATGGACGATTTTAATGCTATTCTAGGCCTTTCGGTTTCTTCATATAAGTAAATATTGCACTGAAATCGCGAGCCCCTGCGTAAGAATTCCGATCCTTCAAATGAGAGCTCGAGAGGACGGTAGGACAGAATATCCAGTTGTACGAAACAGAAAAGTTAACAATATGAAGTTGTTCTTATGCTTATCTAATTAAGCATTACGCTATGAAGGCGTATGGAGTAGTGGATATATAAATCCACATTTTCTTAACTTCGTCATTATTTTGAGATGAGCGGTCAGCTTTAACCTCGGAAAGAGCCGGTGATATTCACTGGATAGTAAGGCTGGGTGGGCCCCAGAACCGGTCTAGACGACGTGGAGAAACGAAAATTCTTGCCCTTACCGGGCCTCGATCTCCGACTCCTCGCTTGTCTAGCCCGTGGCCCATCGCTGTACCGACTGAGCTATTGCGGCTCATCTAATTCTCATGCAATTTTATATTCAGTGGCTGAGCAGTCGCGTTAGTCCGGTTAACATATTGAAAAAATGAAATAAAATTGTAGCTAAGTGATACTTCATAAACTGCCGGGAAAATGGCATTGTCTGCCATCCCTAGCGAGCCAATCACAGATGTTGTTAGCCAGTTCCTTGAGGCTTCCGCTAGCCGTTTGTGAGCGCAGGAGGAATTGGAAGGGATACGACATAACAGAGGCCTCGGGGAGGACAAAGCGCATGATCTTCCGAGCTGTCACGTTAACCACGTGAGGAATGTCAAGGCATTTCACTTGTTTCCGTACTCACAGAGGTTCAAAAAGCTTTTAAAAAATCACGCTCCGCTACTGCCTTCCTCAACATGATGCCATAAAATTATGCATATACCAATGGTTCACAGGAATTTACTCTATCTTTGGTAAAAAATAAAAAAAGACAATTTGTTGAGTACGACCTACTCAAAAATCTATTACACAAAATTAATTATAGAATTTCAAAATAGCCTAACTAAATCACTCAGCACTAGACACATATATTTTTATTTCTAAAAAATAAATGTATATATATATATAAATGGCCTAGACAATTCCCATATGCGCGCATATGAAGAGAATCGTTGTACAGGTTACTCCATCTGTTATCCAGTAAGTAAACTGTTTCGACTTACATCTATGCCAATGTCAACGCTTCCCGTGTGGGAGACTGAACCGTGTAAGATTAGTCCTCCACTCCTGTATTTCTCTCCTGCCAATGAATTTTTAACATGGACGATTTTAAAACTTATTCTTACCTAATGGTATTGTAGGTTATGCTGTAAATTTTGTATATTAGCTCCGGTGATATCTCCAGTGCAAGTCTGTACTATAGTCAGTGGTGATAATTATGATAAATTAGCTTGTATATTGTATATAGTCCGAACTCCTAAACTTGGTATGAATAAAATTCTAATGTAATTATAAGATCAACAATCAC